ACTTCTGGGTCCTCAAAAGACCAGTTACAGCTACGGCTTACGAAACAGAAAATTCAGAGGTGTCGGCAGTGCAGTGGTACAATTACTGCAGAGATGTTTCCTCGTGGAAAATGAACAGTCTGACTCAAGTTCTTGGAGGAGTCGGTGTAATCGTACATATTGATGAAACTGTATTGATAAAAAGGAAATATAACCGGGGTAGATTACAATCCAACCAGCAGTGGATATTGGGTATATACGACACAACACTACGAAAAGGGTATATAGAGGCGATTCCAAATCGCAGTGCAGGTGTATTATTGCCTATTATTCAGCGTTTGGTGCTGCCTGGGACGACTATTCACACAGATGAATTGAGTGCCTACCGTCAATTATCCAATCATGGGTATATTCATCATGTCGTCAATCACACGGAGGGTTTCAGGAATCCTGTGGATGAAACGCACACTAATTCCATCGAAAGTTTATGGAGTCGTCTGAAAAGACGGATAAGAGCTGTTAATGGATCAAGAAATCCAATGATTCACAGTTATCTAGATGAATTTATGTATAGAAACTGGTTTAATATGACAATGAAGACTCCTATGAGAAACTGGGAGGTTTTTTTGCAACATATACGCGAACGTTATCCTTTGTAACTATTTATTATGACTGCATTACTTATATATAAACCGTTTTTTACAATTATGCGCCTTTCATTTTGAGCCTTCTCATTGGTCGAAGTTGTCCCTGTCAAGGTCATTTTTGCGTTGAAAGGTCGTTTCGGTTTGGGCCGCTATTCTTTAGAGTCACCCCATCTGAAACACTAATCATTGCAACCAATATGCTAAAAGTGTGTCGCAGTCAGATCACATGAGGCGGACACCAACATAACCAGCCAAAAAGTGGGAATTTCCCTCAATTTAGATAACATATAATACAATTTTATTAAAAATTATTGGCAAAAAAAATTCCAAACGTAACTTCTAGAGTACGTGACAAATAAGTCCAGCCTTATACTAGCTCTTAAAAACGATATTGGATATTGAATACTTGTTTACCGCCATGGTCAAGAAAGTCACGCAACAGTAATTGGTTTAGCCCTCATATACCGTAGTGTGTTCTAAATGGAAGTAAGAATCCGTATTTTTTCGCAATTTCTATCAGAATCGCCATATATACGTCAGCTTTAGTAATGTAAACTGTCCCACATGTTAGCGTCTTAAATTATCTTCATATTCCCAAATAAAACATTCAGATTTCAGATTAATTGGTTGAGAATAGAAGGCTATGTTAACCCTTTTCTAGTAAATTTCTGTGGTTGTCCAAACCCTTCTTGAACTAATCAGTTGAGCTTGCAGACACCACTTCTTCTGGGAGTCGATTCCAAGAGTTTATGACTCAGTGTCAGAACCAGTACTCAACAGCAATATGATTTCTTCTTGGCTTTTGAACTCTCCTGCTATGTCCTCTAAGGTGTTCCAACCTGGTGGAAAGGAAAAGAGAGAATAGGTCAGGTCCGTAGTCATTAATTAAAATTTTAAACACTGTGAATAAATCTCCACTCTGCCTACGGTATGACAGGGAGAAGAGGTTTAAACTGTCTACTCTTTCCTCGTATGATAAGTTAGCTATGCCGTGAACCAACGTGTTGCCTTCCTTTGAACCTTTCTAGAATGTGTGAGTCCCCTGTTAGACAAGGACTGGCGGCCTGGATCCAGTTTTCCAATCTTGACCTCACCAGAGATGTATATAAGGAGGTGAACAGATCTGTGGTGATTCTAGTGAAGGCTCTGCGAATTGCCCATAAGGACCTGAAACTACATGCAGCCACCGCGTGACAGTGTGCTGTAGTTTTTAAGTCGTGGCTAACTGTGACACCTATATCCAAATGAGTCTGAACTGATGAAAGTGTTATTCCCTCTAGTTTGTAGGAGCTTGTGCTTGCTTGTCCAATCCGTATGGTTGCACGTTTTGCCACACTGATCGGGAGCATCCATTATATGGACCACTCTGACAATTTGTTGAGGTCCTCTTGCAACGTGAACGTATCACTGTTGCCCTTCGGCTCTCTCCAAATTTTCAAATCATCTGCGCATAGGACCATAGAGGAGTCGGTGAGTTGAGATAACTCATTGATATACAGAATAAATAGGAGAGGTCCGAGCACCGTACCTTGTGGCACTCCGCTATGTACTGCTGTCTAAGAGGAGAGTTTTGAGTTGATCCTAACCCTCTGCCTCCTATCTATGAGGAGTTCTCTGAGCCAGTTTAGTAATCTGCCTTTGATACCAAGACTTTCCAACTTCATGAGTAGTCTTTTGTGATGTACTTTATCAAAGGCTTTGCTGAAGTCTATGAAGACGATGTCAACGGGTCTTCCGTTGTCCTCTGATTTGACCCAGCTTTCTCTTGCAGTGAGATTTGACAAACATGAGAGGTTTCTTCGGAAGACGTTCTGTACTCTGAGGAACAAGCTGCTGTTTTTCAGATGTGCAGTGATGCTTTTCTTGATGGTTCTTTCCAGTGTCTTGATTGAAGTACTGTTGAGACTGATAGGGCTGTAATTTGAAGGGCTTTGTCTTGATCCTCCTTTTTGGATGGGGGTTACTAGGGCTTGAAGATCGTGGTCAAAGGGCCGGCTATGTGAGCTGATAGCTCCTTGAGAAGCCTTGGATGAAGATTATCAGGACCCATTGATTTCCCTGCATCTAGTTTCATTAGACAGTTGAGCACGATGCCTTGGTCGATGTCAACGGAGTTTATCCCCTATTCCTCTGATGCAGCCAGAGCTGATCCTATAGGGAGTGATGACTTCTACGTAAAGACTTGGAAGAAGTAGTATACCATTGCCTCTGCTTTTTCTTGATCTTCGATTATGTCATTGTCAGTAGTCAGGCTTGGGACACCAGCGGATGTCTTATTCCTGGAGCCCACGTGCCAGAAAAAATTTAAGTTGTGCCGTTGCATTATAAGCTAGATGTGCTTCAAACTTCACCCTTGATTGGCTGACTTCTGCAATGGGTTTGTTCCTAGCGGAGTTGTATAATTTTCTGGTCTCAAGAGTCTGAAGTTGGGCGAACAGGTTCCATAATTTGTGCTTACGTTGGAGTAATTTACGGATTTTTCGGTTTATCCAAGAGGGCAATGTTTCTGACCCTTTGGGACGGATCAAGGGATGAAAGGTTCAGTTACTTGGGCGTAACAACTAGTAGTAGTTGTACTTAATACGTATCAGTGAACTTGTCTGTATCTTACTTCAACATTCAATAGAACTCTTATTTTACTCAATCATCTTTGTTGTCTTGTTATTAACGCATAATTTTGTCAGTTTAACTGATGAGAATTGATTGAAAATTGTTGGTGATTTCAAAAGTAGGCAGCGCTATCTGAGATGATGTTTTTTCAGATGCTATCTTATATAGCCATAAGGAAGAATTTTCCTAAACCAGATGGAGTTTCACTTGTGTTAAATGAATAACAATTTATTATGCATGCATTTCCTTGCATGCCTATGTATTCTGTCTCGAAGAGAGAATTATTTCTAAGCAGCCTGTATCTTGATTGTGATAAGTTAAACTCATATCCATCAATGCATAGTTACCCATTTATGTATCTCCGTCGTTTATTAGTTAGTTATTATCATATGTGTCTATGATTGACAAGGAAAAGGTATAGCTAGATGTATTGATGGATGCCAGCTGTTATAAATCTCGTCTCTGTCTGTCTGTCTGGATTCAACATAGAACTTGTCACCGAAGTGCACCAGTTCGAGTTGCCACGTTCCAAATAGCACACACAAAGGTGGACAAGAAGATGAGTGAAGAGAATCAATAGAGTTTGACAAGTATAAGAGTGAAACAGAATGGGTAATGGCAGAAAGGAATATGAAAGATTACAGAGACTGAATACTATATCTGCGCTAGCCATTGACAACGATTTTGAGTCATGTCACCTATTGTCTCCAGCCATTGATTCCTAGAGTCCTGAGGGCCCCAACCCAGAAGTCTGCATCTCCCTATCTGACTCAGTTTAACTGTCAAGGATTTCATGGATTGATGAGGCCATGTTTTTGTTTGGCCATCACTTACTGTTTTCCAACCTGCACCTATATCAGCTGGTAATGCCCGTCGGGGGAGGCGATGGTTAGGCATGCGCAGCACCTGACCTAGCCATCTCAATCTGTGTAACTTTATAGCCTCGTCGATTGATTTTCCCTGTTTGCCCAACACTCTACGCCTAACGTCAACATTACTTATCTTGTGAAACCACCTAACGTGAGACAGAGATCGCAGACATCTATGATCGAAAACAACAGTCAACCTTTTCATGTCTTCAACGCGTATTGGCCATGTTTCAGAGCCATAGAGAAGGACGGAGCGAACTGATGAGCAGTACACACGTCTCTTGGTTGATAGCCGGATGTCACGCCTACGCCAGAGATGGCGTACGTCAGCGAAAGCAGCTCGAGCCTTTTGGATCCGTGCTGAGATTTCGTCGTCAATCAGTCCGTTGGTGCTGATACAACTTCCCAAATAGGTGAAGTGGTCAACATGTTCTATCACTTCACTCCCTATCACTAAGCTAGGAGTTGACGTAGTCCAGTCCTGTAGCAGCATCTTACATTATACAGGGGCGAATCGCATGCCAAACATACGAAGATTGCTGCTGAAGGTGTTCAGAAGACTCTGCTGGATTTTGTCAGCATCCTCCTCTAACAGGACTATGTCATCTGCATATTTTAAGTCCATAAGACTTTTCCCTGGTAAAAAGTCGATTCCTAAGTCATTACGTTCAGTTAAGGATACTTCCATCAGCATATCTATGATGAAGTTAAACAGAAATGGGGAAAGTGGACATCTGTGTCGGACACCATTGGTTGTTATCAATTCAGATGACAATAAATCTCGTGTACTTTATCTTTTCCTCTTATAGTGTACCTTCCACTCCAACTCTTGAAACAGTTACTGGCTTATGTAAAACCAACTCTACTGAAAACATATCAGGGCATATAACACAGAATGGGTTCTCTTTTCTCAAGACACAGGCATCGATCAAGAATTACAGAACAGGATAAAGCTGTTCTCCAGTTAAAACAGCAACGTGATAAATTAAATCAAATGACCAAAAGAATTGAACGTCAGATTGAATGTGAACATGTCTTAGCCAAAGAACTCGTTAGCCGTGGAAGAAAAGAGTGAGTCGTCTTGTTTTTTTTCTCTCTCTTAAAAAGAAATTTTCAAACCTAGTGATGACGTTTAGAACAGGTATCTGAATCAATCGATTGATTAATTGATTGATTGATTGACCGATTGATTTATGAAGATACCTCTCTAACTGAGGGTTTTTTTTATCAATTACCTACCTACTTAGACAAATTAGTCAATCACTTGAATATTTGTTTTTATTTTTCAATAAAGAAAGACCAGAATTGCAGTATAAAGTAATGTCATCATTCTATTTCACAGGTTCTCATCAGCTAACTGCAAACTACCTGAAATTAAAATGGTTATAAATAATAATAACATTTCATACTTCATTGTTTGAAAGGTAATAGAGGAAACATTATAAGGTGAACGCATCTGGAATATAAGTATTACAATTTATAGTTTATTATAATATTATGATTACTGTTCCCTTGGGTTCCTAGTGGAACATATAGCTTCAACTGCACGTTTCCACTTGCCACTTCTGTCTTGCTTCTGCTGTACTTTTCACCTGCATCCATGTTAGTTAGTGCATACTGTTTCAACTCCTTTTCACACGATCTCCTTTATGTCACCCACCCTTGCACTGACGTCCCACTCGCCGCTTCCCTTTCGGCCTGGTTCCACTCGAGCAATGGCCTGACGCGTGATGTCACCCAGCAGACCGGCCTCCTCACCGAGTAGTGTCCAATCCATCTCCCTCCACTTTCTCCTGCATATTTGCTGGGCGAGCGACTGGTTCTTGTTTTGTTTGTCCCCATAGTTTCTTGTTGGTGCTTCTTTCCGGCACGGCCATCTGATTGACCTTCAGTATAGAGCCAGCGAAGATAGTTGTTGATAAAGGTATGCAATAGCCTGTTGGAAATATTCTTTGTGACCCGCCGGCCAAGTTTCTGATCCGTATAGAAGAACTGACTGACTTGATGTTTGTATTGAAAATCCTACCGAATTTTATTGTTGATGCTGAGTTGTGTGACGAAGATTTCCAGATTGGTTTCAGGTTGATGAATGTGTTTCTCGCCTTCCCCCCGATTCTTGATTTGACATCGATTTGACTCAACCAAACCGCTACAGAAACTTCAGTGCACCAATATATTTATAGTTTAAGTTACCATAAATTTATATACTATCAAACTATGAAAAAAGAAAGAAAAAAGGGGGGTGGTGAGAGAAGACAGAAAACAGAAAAATCTGATAAACAGTGTTAGCTTGTACGTCAACATGGCAACTCAAGAAGGTCAAAGTTGAAAACTTGCTTAGTGAGTTGAGCCCACTTCGAGTGTATGACTAATCACTGTAATGAAAGTGATATGGTTACCAAGGGATTGACTGAGAGATTGACTACACTTTCTTTCTGTATGCACATAAGTTTGGTCTGTGACGTTTGATTGCAATTGCTTCTGCAGTAAATCGTAAATAGATTCGCTGTCCTTTGTATGTTTAATATTTTGAAGGATTTGGAAATCTTGGCAAAATAACTCGAAGTATCTACAAGGGTGAATGCACTTTGTAAATCATCTGCTTCCTTTTAAGCATAAGTTTCTTGGAATATGCTCTGAAAACCGGATGGATAGAAGCCCTAACTTCTTTCTGTCCTTCCAATGTACTTGCTGCCGTAGGTGCACGTAAAAATTTATAAATGTAGTTAGAGGTAACATCATCAGCAGGGTACTTATCCGGTTTCGATTGGCTTATAGAGCAAACATGTAGTAATGTATAGTGTCACCAGACTGACACTGCAGGGAAGCATCTCCCTTATTGCCGCATTCATCCTTTTTCTCAATCTTTTGCGATACTGTTTCTCCCTTTGTATGAGAGGCAAATGAACACTTTTATTTTTATTTTGTTGTTGTTGTTGTTTTTAGACGGGCTTTATTACTGCTTAAGAAGAAAAAATATCTTGAAAATCTTATACAGAAGACTGAAATTCAACTATCAAATATTGAACAGCTAGTCAATGATATTGAATTTGCTCAAATCGAAGTTGAAGTTTTAGATGGTATCAAACAGGGAAATGATGCCTTGAAGAATATGCAAAAAGTGATGTCATTGGATGATGCAGAGAAAATTATGTCAGAGGCACAAGATGCTGTTGATTATCAACGTGTAAGTTGTTCTCTAGCATGGGATGACTACTAATATATGTGTAAAACTTGGGCACTGTGGTAGTAAGTAATTCTATATTAGTTTGTTTATTAGATATATCACACAGTGAAACAGTATTATTTACTGAATGACAGTTTCGAACAAAATTTATTGTGATGCATAATCATATCATCAATTGTAATCACACGACTTCAAAACTTGAGATTTATAGTTCCCTTTGTTCTCTCCTACTTGTCTTTGTAGGGGTAGTAAAATTTCCCGGATTTCTGGGAAAGGTGATGAATCATTCCTAGTACATGTATTTGCAGTTGGTTCGATAAACAAAGCTTCTGTTATCAATCTCTCCCTCCCCCGTTACATTAGATTTTAAGATTGTCATCTTATCCCATCCTATTATGTGGTTGTGTGTAATTGCATGTAGTGAGTGGTATAGCTGAACTATTCTCTAGATTTCTTATCTTATTCGGGTCAACTGATCCAGATTTTGCTGCTAGGTTTCTATATTCGGCTAGTCTGACTGCCCCTGTTCCACTAATTTGACCTATGTATTTGACCTGACATTCATACCAGCAGGGTATTAGATAAACTGAATTGTTTTGTTTTAAAGGCTCCACAGGATCCTTTAATCAACAAAGCTTGTTTCTAATTGAGTTTGTGGGTGGTTTGAATGCCAGCTACTTTTATTCCTGCTTGCCTTGTTAGGAATCCTGCGTAAGGTGGTTCCCGAGGTTCCTTCCTTGTATGGAATTACTACTGATGATTTAGATTTCTTATTGTTGGTGTTGTCTTCGGCATATTTAACATGCATGTCGTCATTAATATTATTGTTATTATTATTATTATTACAGGGGCAGTCAGACTAGCTGAGCATAAAAACCTAGCAAAATTTAGATTGTTTGACCCAAATAAGATAAGAAATGTAGAGAATAATTCAGCTATAGCACTCACTACATGCAATTACACACAACCGTACAATAGGATGGATGGGATAAGATGACAGTTTTAAAATCTAATGTCACAGGATGGTGGAGGGAAAGATCGATAACAGAAGCTTTGTTTGTCGAATCACCACTATCATTATTTATCATATTTTTACATTTCCTTACATATTTCCTGACTAATTTATCCGGATAATTATCAAGTTTCAAGGCTTCTTTTATGTGTATCACCTTTGTCTTCAACGCATAAATATGCTAAGAATACTATATATATATATATATATATATATATATATATACTAAGAGTGACGACAATTGAGTTTGCACTACCTGATTCTCTTATGAGGGTTATCAAAAGAAAGATTGAAAGTTTTGTTTACTTCTAAAACGTGAATCGATATTGCTTCTTTACTCTTTTACGTTCCCAGTGGAACATAGGGCTTCAATAATAATAATAATGATATACTTTGTTCCGAAAACAGTACTTGTGATACAGAATGGAATTTTCAGCATTAATCACAATATTGCATCTAATTTCCTCAAGTTATAAATAAAATTAATCACGCAGAAAATTTTCCATATTTGCAATCGGGGTAATGTCAAAAACATGCAGCATATAAAATGGAAACAATAATAATAATGATAACAGCTTGTCTCACACAGTATTGTCGATACGGTATAGAAATACTAGCATGTTTAAAAATATTGAATATAATGTTCTCTTTACATGATATAGTGAGGGAAAAACAAAGATTACAGCAGTCATGGAGATAAGTTGATGTTTACAATTATGAAAGTAAAACAAAGAAGCAACAGGACCGTAAATATAACAGAAATAATAAAAGTAAAACTTGAAGGTTTATAAGGATGGATAGATGGAAGAAATTGTTTATTTACTAGACGAAAAAAGGTTAGTTAATTCTTGCCTGACACTATTTACATCACATAAAATACATGCCAAGTATGGTATCGTAGAATGTTAATACTTGGACGTTACTTCTTGTTCTACCTGAGGAGATGCAAGGTGAAAGCTGAGGGTAAAGTGGATGATCCAAGTCAGACAAAATCCCTTTTAGCAAATTTATTGCATGAAGTCAAGTGCCTATCGACAACGACGTTAACTATGTGGTCCAGTGGGATACCACTCACCCTACTGACAGTCTTCAGTATTCTACGAATTGTGACATAGTCTTTTTTAAGCAAACCAGGAAAGAATAAGCTAGGGTGAACAATAAAGAAGAATAGGTCGGAGACTTGAAGTTTTTGCTCAACCTTTCCTCTTTACCAGTTTCATTACTGGCTTGGCGAGGTAAAGAGGTGGGTCGGTGACCGGTGATCGCACTCTGAACCACATGGGGTGTGGTTGGCGAGCATTCTGTCGCTGTGGTACCGACGCCTCGATATTGTACGATAGTTGATTCGTTACGCTGTTGGATGTTTTAAAGGTACTGAATGCATAAATTGTGTGGGAAAGTGGTCTCAATACCAACTGACTTATAAAAGTTGGCACTAGTAATTATTTAGTTAGTATAGTAGAGCAGTTAAATTGGTAGATACACACGGAAGAGGCGACATTAGGCAGTTTGTCTTTTACTCCCGAACGCAAAAGAGGAGTGATTTTGAAGACACAGCGTAATTCGGTAGCAGGGTATGCAGGGAATATGAATCTAAAATCAAAGCAGCCCAAGGTACCAACAGTTCCTAAAAAGGCCTTTTTTTAACAGATGCAGTCAGTTCCCTGGGGATAACATCAGCGAGAAACTAACACAGCGCCTTAAAAATGCGGCAAAAAGAGCATTCCCTACTTCCGAATTACGCTGTGTCTTCAAAACCACCCCTATTTTGCTTTCGGGAGTAAAAGAAAAAAAAAACCTAATTTCGCCTCTTCCATGTGTATCTACTAATTTAACTGCTCCCGTGGAGTCAGTTGCATAGGCCATACAATTAGGCGTGTTTCTCGTCGGATTTCCGAACATCACCCTGCATTGTGGTTAGTTAAGTAAAGGACAAACAAAATCTATTCGCAGCGCTATTCTATCTCATCTTGTGGATACAGAACACAAGATTGATGTCAACGAGGCAGCTTTCAAAGTCATTTATCGCATACCAACTAATCTTAACTTCGTCTTAACAGTTCATTTACTAAATATCTCTGAGGCTGGCTGTTGAGATTCACATTAAGAAGCTTAATTTATGCGTCCAAAAGAAGCTAGTTGAGACATTGTCCTTACCTTGGCCATCCAGCTTCGAGTGATCCTCAATTTGTTGTAGAAATTTCCTTAATTTTAGTTGATATTCTATTTGCTATTATATCTTTATTTAATACTCTTATGATTTAAGCATCTTTAGTGAACTGTAATTCCATTGTGATCTTACTTTACAAATCGATATTGTTTGCAAAACATCAACATTGTTATTTACGACTATTCTAGAATATTCTATGTATATAAACATGTAAATATGTAACTGTAGAGCCATATGGGGAGGAATTTATCGAAAAGGATATACTTTGCTTGCTCAATTATTTTGTGTTTTATAGATTATACTTACTAGTTTGTTATTTCCAAATACTATTTCGTAAGTTGTTTAGTTACTTACTGACATGTAGTCAATGCTATATCTCTGCTTAAATACTGACTACATCTTATCGATTATATTTAACAAAGTGATGAACATTAAGCTGACTATTCTTCTTCTTCTTCGATTTCAGGAACTAAATGATCTTGTATCCGGTGGTCTGTCTTCAAAAGACTATGATGCTATTGAACGTGATCTAGCGCGTCTGGTAGAGGATGAAGTTTCAAGGCTTCCAGAAGTACCAGAACATCCTATCAGAGATGATAAATCTATCGATGAAAGAGCTAAAGGTATGTTTAATGGTTGGTTTCATTAAAAGATTCATATGATTTAAATTTTTTATTGATGTAATATTGAATATAATAAAATGAAACTAAAAAGCACGTGGTAGCCAAGTAATTTTTAGTGACCCTCATTCAACTTTTATGTGTTTGAAATTTGTCATTTGAAAGTGATCTTGTATGCCTCAGCCTATTTTACGAAGAATTACGTTGTAAAGGCTGCTAATGGTACCCAATTGTATAGCGGGGAATTAGGTGGAGTGGAATTCGAACTGTGGAGGACCTACTGGCTGGTAACTGAGTATTTATTTATTATTCATTTAAACGCAGAAAAAACTTAGTACAATATGGCACCAAGAAGGATGCGCCACATAATAATAATAATAATAAAACACCATAGATCAAAAGAAAAAAAGAAGGAAAAGAAAAAATATATAAGTAGAGAACGGATAAAGAACTTCATCTGGAAGAAAGATAGTCATGCCTAACAAGTTCAAACGGTATTCGTTTAACTATCGTCGGGAAGGGGAGAAAGAAGGAAATTGCAACACGTTCGCTATTGATTACGGTTCTCGGCCATATCCGAAAGCGTTTCAAGCCATCGATTTGAGCTATCTCGGATCCCGACCAGGGAGTCGTGGCACACCAACCGATGCTAATCTAGCACAAGTATCCTTTATCCCACGACGTCACGCGTCATGGGCTGACCACCTCTCCGCCTTTTCCATCCCGTCCCAGGGCTGGCTAGGGAACAGAGACTTGTACGTAAGCCTCTGGGATGACGTTCGCAGCACATGTCCAAGCCACCGGAGCCGGTGTTTCCAGATGACGACACTCAATGAATGGTGATCTCCACTGTGTTCAAACACACGTCACCGAACCTCAGAATTACTCACGCGATGATGCCATCCATCGAAAGCAAGCAATCCTGTGGAGACAGCGATGATCGAACTTGCAAAGTCGCCGCACATCTTCAACTCGGAGAGGCCAGGTTTCACAGGCGTAGAGCAGGGCAACCCACACCGAAGCATTGTAGACCCGACCTCTGACAGCTAGGCTAACATCGCGAGGGCGCCAGAGGTGGCCCAAGTTGATGTATGCCAACCTATCCTTCATTATACTGTTGGAAATCTCCTCCGTCACCCCTCCCCTCCAGCATTCACACAACTACCCAGGTACACAAACTTATCAACAAGTTCAAGCGGTTCACCCTCAAGAGTGAGTGCAGGTACAGGCTCCTGCCAATCTTGTAACAGTACTTTGCACTTAGACGGCGCAAAGCACACACCATACTTACAGACACTGATCGCCAACTGATGAAGTGCGATTTGGGCAGCCTGTATAATACTATCGCACAGTAAGACGATATCGTCTGCATACTCGAGGTCGAGAAGTCTGTCTCCAGGTAGCAGATCTACACCATCTTCACGCACATCCTTCAGAGCTGACTCCAGAATGTCATCGATGGCAAAGTTAAAGAGAAATGGAGAGATTGGGCAACCCTGTCTAACCCCACTGTTGGTTGGGAACAGTGGTGATAGTTGGTTGTATGCCCTCACTCTACCTGAGGTGTTTCTGTATAGGGCTTTCAGGATGTTAACAAATTTCTCAGGTACACCTCTCTCTAACAGACAGTTCCAGAGCACAGTTCTGTCCAACGAATCGAAGGCAGCCCCAATATCAAGAAACACAACGATCGTTGGCCTGCAATTTGTGTGGCGGTGTTCCAACAACTGACGAAGGGTGAACATATGATCAATGCATCCACGACCTGAACGAAACCCAGCCTGCTCTTCGCGAATGAATCCCTTACGTATTTTGAACAGCCTGCGAAGCAAGACAGCAGCCAGTATTTTAGACGCGACTGGTAGCAGACTAGATACCCGTATGATTGTCACACGAATTATGTCGACCCTTTTTAGAGATGGGGACGATAATGGCTTCGTTCCACATTGATGGTACACTCTCTACGTTCTACGTTGAAACCAGTCAGTTAGCCAGTTTTAGGAGTTTAGGATTTCATGCTTCATTTATTTTGATAGTTAATTATTCCTGTTCACATGTGAAATGGAATTCTAATTCGCTTACTTGTGTTTTTACCGTTTTTTTTTTAAAAATTAATTCAATTATCTAGATTCACCTCGTAAGCAGAGGAATAGAGAAGTTGTGATTATCGCCAGTTAAAAAGTCTGTCTGTGAACATGATACCCGGTTGTCAGTTGCCTGTTCTACTGCAAGTGATGTATTTATTTGATGCCCCTCCCCCACCCCACCCCCCAAAAATGCCTGATGAAACACAAATACTCTGTCGACCCTTCTTTTTTATTAGAAAAAATTGTCTTTCTTTTTTTCATAATTATTTATTTGTTTATTTTCATTCGATTTTTTTTTAAAAATTATCCCATGACTGACTGCTGCCGCTGCTGCCTAATGTACAGTGATTTTGTATAATAAGCAAAATTATTGAATAGCTTAGTTATTTTTCTTAATTATTATTTTTGTATAGTGTTTGTGGCTTGTGTTTTGCTTCTTGAGAAGCATGATGTAATCACTGGTTGTTGTTGTTGTTGTCCTTGCTCAGATTCCCAAGTAGTTTTGTTTTGGTTTTGATAGGAATGTTGGCAATTACTGGAATTGGTGTGTGTGTTACCCAGTCCTGTGGACACACTTCACAGGTCTGTTTTTCATACGTTTGCGTTCTTAATGGAGTATACTGCCCTGACACCCTGATCGAAGTAAGAGGTCGCCTAAAGTGACCATCACCGTCTGAGTCTGTGACTTAAAATCTGATTTTCAAGACAGTAGATCAGCGACGTCAGGAGGTGTGTTCAGATGACAGCCGACAAGCAAGACAAGTTAGTACACTGTTAGATCCTTTCGGATTCTGGAGCCCGTTTACACCATAGATAGGTGTTGTAATCAGGGTTTTTCAGCTCCTCTAGATAGACCAGCATGTCCCCAAGACTGATTGTAGGCGGCAAACGTCCTCATTTGTCCTATCATTTCTGTAAAGCCCGACCGAAAGCTGCTACCTTGATGTGGTGGTCGGGCTTGAACACCGCAATGACCTAATCAAGCTATACTGGCTGAGACTTATGTCTCTTGAGGTCCTACCATGCCAGAAACGTTGTTTGGATAGCGGTTAAACAAAAAGCAGCTACCCAATCCAACACTATGATACATACAAACTCACAAAATATCATGCCGTATCGGTCGGGGCCCGGATTAACAACGACCGCGCTTCCTGCTGCCGTGTCACAGGGCAGGAGTGATAAATATGCTACTGAGACACACCAAACAATAAAGAACGAACAAAAACAGGCCGCGTGTGACAGGCCTCAAGCAGTTGTCCCCTGGGCTCTGTGGTCACGCAGCCAACTTCCACGGTGTGGGCAGCCGGGAAGTAAGAATCGCCCTCACAATCCGACATGCACACGAAACCTTTCTAATCCTCACTCATCTTTGTCTTCATCTCTGTTATCTTGCCTTCCTTCCACTGATGCAACTCCTCTACTTGATGACTCCTCACTTCCTCTTCACTCATTTTTCTGTAAGGAACGCTTTAATCGCGTGAAAGCGGTGAATAGGACTCACCTGACAATAGGCTACATATGGGTTTATGGCCACATAAGAGCATTTTAAGAAGAAGAAGAAGAAGGCCCAAGTCTATCCACCCTCAGCCTTACCACGTAGTTAATAGGCCTCATACTAGGTCAACTTTCCTTTTTGGGGGCTTATCACCGGCTAGGTGGGGTTGAGGATGTGGCACCAGGTGTAAATTGAACCCGGGCAGCGTGTGTGCTTGATGAGCAGGTTTATTAAAACGCATCATAATTATGAAATAGTACCATCTTACGCGTAAGTAATGTTTGAGCTACTCACTAAGAAGTCCTTACCTCTTTTTTTGGCGGGAACATTTAGGTATTTTTTTTGAATTATATTAGGCTATATGCACAAACAATGAATGATGGGGTGTAAGTTTCATGCAGTGTTGGTGGTCATGGTATCTATCGTCTTGCTTGTGAGAGGAGTTAAATTACTGGTTTTACCGACAATGGGATCACGTTGGAAAAAGAGTTGAGTGGGTCAAATCAAAAGCTGTCATCGGTCCGCGAATTCTTTGACGGTTAGTTTAAGCTGTACACTTAGGGAGGTGTAGACTGCCAGGTTGGTGTCCTCAGGATGCTTGAAATCGTTCTCAAGAATGGCGCAGATGCCTTCATCCACCCTCTTTGTGTGATCCCTCATATCCATTCTATCCTCATGTTTTTTTCCATGTGACTGTTCTTTCTCCCTCACATATTTCTGCTTATTATAGTGTACTTCCGAGTCCTTTTTTCTCTCTTTCTTCCAGGTTTGTATGCTGTATGGAGTGTGGCAACTTGAACTGCTGCGCTTCACTTTTGTACAAAGTTCTGTTATTAATATATGTGTAAAACATGGGCACTGTGGTAGTAAGTAATTCCATATTAGTTTGTGTATTAGATGTATCACACAGTGAGTGAAACAATATTATTATTTACTGGATGACACTTAGGGGAGGATGCTGACAAAATGCAGAGTCTTCTGAACACCTTGAGCAGCAATCTTCGTATGTTCGGCATGCGATTTGCCCCTACAAAATGTAAGATGCTGCTACAGGACTGGACTACGTCAACTCCTAGCTTAGTGATAGGGAGTGAAATGATAGAACATGTTGACCACTTCACCTATTTGGGAAGTTGTATCAGCACCAACGGACTGATTGACGACGAAATCTCAGCACGGATCCCAAAGGCTCGAGCTGCTTTCGCTGACTTACGCCATCTCTGGCGTAGGCGTGACATCCGGCCATCAACCAAGGGACGTGTGTACTGCTCAGCAGTTCGCTCCATCTTTGTCTATGGCTCTCAAACATGGCCAATACGAGTTGAAGACATGAAAAGGTTGACTGTTGTTTTCGATCATAGATGTCTGCGATCTCTTTCTCACGTTAGGTGGTTTCACAAGGTAAGTAATGTTGACGTTAGGCGTAGAGTGTTGGGCAAACAGGGAAAATCAATCGACGAGGCTATAAAGTTACATAGATTGAGATGGCTAGGCCACGTGCTGCGCATGCTTAACCATCGCCTCCCCCGACGGGCATTACTAGCTGATATAGGTGCAGGTTGGAAAAGGGTAAGTGGTGGCCAAACAAAAACATGGCCTCATCAATCCATGAAATCCTTGACAGTTAAACTGAGTCAGGTAGGTAGGGAGATGCAGACTTCCGCGTTGGGGCCCTCAGGACTCTAGGAATCAATCAATGGCTGGAGACAATAGGTGACATGGCTCAAAATCGTTGTCAATGGCTAGCGCAGATGTATTCAGTCTCTGTAATCTTCCATATTCCTTTCTGCCATTACCCATTCTGTTTCACTCTTATACTTGTCAGACTGTATTGATTCTCTTCACTCATCTTCTTGTCTACCTTTGTGTGTGCTATTTGGAACGTGGCAACTCGAACTGGTGCACTTCGGTGGCAAGTTCTATGTTGAATCCAGACAGACAGACAGACTGGATGACACCGTTCCGAACAAAATTTATTGCTGTTCATAATCATATCAATTATGATCACACGACCTTGAAACTTGAGTTTTATAGTTTTCTTTGTTCTCTCCTATTTTTCATCTTTCGGGTAGTAGAATTTTCCAGATGTTCGAGTAGAGAGGTGTTGAATCATGCCAACTACACGTGTTGGTTTACAGTTGATTCGATAAACAAAGCTTCTGTTATCAATCTCTTCCTCCATTCACCCTGTTACATTACATTTTAAGACTCATCTTATCCCATCCTGCCTATTGTATGGTTGTGTGTAACTGCTTGTAGTGAGTGGTATTGCTGAACTTGTCTTGAAACTCAGTTTGTATTACCATCTATAAGGCTGACAGACACGCAGAAACATTTTATTTTGAGATACGATTTTTGGGCCGTATGTATGAATAAACGTTATCGAAGCTTTGTTGCTTAATTTCTTGGAAGCTTCAAATGTTGTGTATGTGTGTGTGTGTGTGTAGGTGTGTTGTATACAAGGGGTTTCAGAGAAGCTGTCATATGATCAACCCTACTTGCTTGGAATTTGCACTTAAAAAAGACGCTTTTCGTCAGTTAAGTAGACATCCATCTTCCATGGTGCTACCTGGATAGAATAATTAATAAATCTGTAGTAGTGGTTCAGTGGTCTTAATTATTAAGTTTTGTCATGTGTCGAAGTCAGTTAGAGAACCCCAATGGTTAGCTGGGAGTACTGGACAGGTGCCTCATTCTAGTTTCTGAAGTCGGTTCATTTTGAAAGTAATAAATTTCACATATTCGTTATTATTATTATAATTGTTCCCTTGGGTTCCTAGTGGAACATATAGCTTCAACTGCACGTTTCCACTTGCCACTTCTGTCTTGCTTCTGCTGTACTTTTCACTTGCATCCATGTTAGTTAGTCCATACTGTTTCAACTCCTCTTCACATGATCTCCTCTATGTCACCCACCCTTGCACTGACGTCCCACTCGCCGCTTCCCTTTCGGCCTGGTTCCACTCGAGCAATGGCCTGACGCGTGATGTCACCCAGCAGACCGGCCTCCTCAGCGAATAGTGTCCAATCCATCTCCACTTTCTCCTGTATATTTGCTGGGCGGGCGACTGGTTCTTGTTTTGTTTCTTCCCATAGTTTCTTGTTGGTGCTTGTTTCCGGCACGGCCATCTGATCTTCAGTATAGAGCCAGCGAAGACAGTTGTTGATAAAGGTCTGGAACAGGCTGTCGGTTGGAAATATTCTTTGTGACCCGCCGGCCAAGTTTCTGATCCGTATATAAGAACTGACTGACTTGATGTTTGTATTGAAAATCCTACCGAATTTTGTTGTTGATGCTGAGTTGTGTGACGAAGATTTCCAGATTGGTTTCAGGTAGATAAGTGGATGTGTTTCTCGCTCGCCTTCCCGATTCTCGCTCGATTTGACATTCTCGTCCGTTCCGACTGCCTGTAGTTGAGACAATGCTCCCTCCCTAGATAAGTGAATGAAGTAACCTCTTTCAAATCCCTCCCGTTGTTGGTGGTTGGCGCTGGATGTTGCTGTTGTTGTTGTTGGTTGGTTATTTTCATAACCTCCGTGTTGTCTATGTTCACCTGGAGTCCCGTGTTTTTTGCTCCTTCGACCATTTTGTCGGT